CAAGTCGAGGAAGTCAAGTGCATTCTTAGACTGATGCCAATTTGGCTCTGCACTATAATCTACTCAGTCGTCTTCACCCAAATGGCCTCTCTATTTGTGGAGCAAGGCGCTGCGATGAATACCTCTGTCTCGGATTTCAAAATCCCCCCGGCAAGTATGTCCAGCTTCGACATCCTTAGTGTCGCTTTGTTCATATTCCTATACCGCAGGGTTCTCGAGCCAGTAGCAAACAGATTCAAGAAGAACGGATCAAAAGGAATCACCGAGCTTCACAGGATGGGTATCGGACTTGTGATTGCTGTCATAGCTATGATTGCAGCCGGGATTGTGGAATGCTATAGGCTTAAGTATGCAGACAAAAGTTGCACTCATTGTGATGGCTCAAGCTCCTTAAGCATCTTCTGGCAGGCTCCACAATACTCGCTAATTGGGGCATCAGAAGTGTTCATGTACGTGGGTCAGCTTGAGTTCTTCAACGCGCAAACACCAGACGGACTAAAGAGCTTCGGGAGCGCTCTGTGTATGATGTCAATGTCGATGGGAAACTTTGTGAGCAGCTTGTTGGTGACAATGGTGGTGAAGATCTCTACAGAGGATCACATGCCTGGTTGGATTCCAAGGAACCTCAACAAAGGTCACTTAGACAGATTCTATTTCCTCTTGGCTGCGTTGACCAGCATTGACCTGGTGGTATACATTGCCTGTGCAAAGTGGTACAAACCTATAAAACTAGAAGGAAAAGATGAGATGCAAGACATGAGTGATGATGACGATGACACCGAGAGCGAAGAGGAACGAGAGAAGGATTCTAAAGTCTAACAAAATGTGTGTTTGGTTTTCAGTTTTCCAGTAATGTAACAACAAACTGATTCATAAATAAAAGGCTAACGGATTAGTCTTTTTCATCGAAAAGACTTCTTCTTTGTGTTATATGGGTTACTCTAACCAAATAAGTAATAAGATGAGTGAGACAGAAATCCTCCATGACATATGAAGCATTTAGGTACTCAACTAAAACTAGAAAAAAAAAAAAAAGCTTCAATAACTTAAAATATATATATGGTTGTTTGATTCACTGTGAGTGATTCAAAAAAATATGGATAAAAGTGTGTAAGAGAAAGAAAGCTGAGTAAAATCAAGATGTTGTGTAGCTCAAGAAGTAAAAACATCATCCACCTATATTTGTCTTACGGACTTGTATGAGATGTGTTGATTCTTCACGCCAAATGGGTTGCGAGCCGCTTTGGACAAGAGTTACATGTTGTCCTTCCTTCAGCATATGCTCGTCCTGAGTGATTTATAACAGTTAAGTGTTAGCAAAACTGCGTTGCAATTAGAGAAAATGTAAGGTTTGATAGATGAGAAGGAACATGGTTAATGTACCTGTAAGAGTTTCAGAGACCGGGCATATGTATCTTCTGCATCATCCGAGAACTCCATATATATAGGCATGACACCTTGATAAAGAGCCAACCTTTGCATTATCCTTCTCCTAAAGGAAAGAAATCAGTAAATCGATCAAAATCATTTCATCAATTAAAAGTTGCATACATAGGACATTTTCTGATTGACAGATAAACAAACACTTACTGGTTTGTAAAGGCGAAAATTGTTGCGGATGGGCGGTAATGGCTTAGAAGCACTGCCATGGATCCGGTTCTCGTGAATACAATTAGCGGTGAGCTCAGTGTATTTGCCATTATAGAAGCATGAAAAGCAAACATTTGGCCCATGTGACCCTGTAGCAAGAATGTCGTTATTAACATTCTCATTTGACTAACGAGCCATATTTACTATTTCCGATAAGCGGAATGTGTGAGGGTACCTTGTAAGCAGTGGTACGGGTTGCAGAGGTTCTGACAGGTAGACTTGCCTCAGTTCTCAACGCCACAGTATGCATTACGTTAACAGCTTTGAGCGGAAACCTGACATCAGAGAATTTTTAAAATAAGAACATTTCAAGACCGCATGACATGTAAGTTCTATTCATGGAAGAGGTAAGGTTAATTAGAAATACGAACTTTCCGTGTGCGGTTTCACCAGAAAGCATGATAGCATCTGCACCTTCACGTACTGCAATAGCAATGTCAGAGACTTCAGCTCTTGTAGGCGTTGGATGATTAATCATACTCTCTAGCATGTTTGTGGCGACAATCACTGGTTTATGGATGCTTCTACACCTTCTGATTATCTCTTCCTAAAATTAAGACACAATGTAAAAGCATTAATACCAACAGAGTCTAAACTAATGTTTCGTAAACCAAGCCTTGGATTTACCTGTAACAATGGGACCTCTTCAATGGGAAGTTCAGCTCCAAGATCTCCACGAGCAACCATTGCCTGAAAATGCATTGATGATTATATAAGCTAAGGAAAAATTCGGCACTAAGCATCAACATAATAACTCTGATAGAAAAGACTTTGAAACGAACCCCATCACAAGCAGATATGATAGAAGGAAGATTCTTTATAGAGTCAGCGCTTTCAATCTTCACGATTACCGATATATCCGCACTGCAGGCTATCAAAACATTTGGAAGTTTCATAAGTTTAACAGAAAATTCACCAGACTGCCATAGGAGATTGAAGAAAAAGAGAGAGACTTACTTTTGAGATAGTTCTTCAACTCATGGACAACTTTAGCATCCTTAACAAAGGAGACGGCATAGAAATCGACCTGGTTGTCCACTCCAAATTTTATGTCCTCCCAATCTTTGTCTGCAGTGGAGTTACCAGAATATAATCATTCCAAAACATTGAATTAAAAAAAGCTCCTTGATGCAAGATACTGGGAAAACATCAGCTGGTATCAACCTGTTATGGAAGGAAGAGTCGCACTCTTTCCACGAACATTCAAGTGACGTCTAGATTGAAGCTCTCCACCATCAATAACCACACACTTCACCAAATCACTCGTCTTTGATTTAACAGCTAATGACATCATTCCGCCTAAGTAATAAAGAACACAAGAAGCCACCTCTTGTTACAAGATGAACCAAAACAAAGACTCCAACAACCACAAAGATACCAGTACTCTTACCATCCACCAAAAGTATGTCCCCAACTTCAACATCATTAACAAAATCATCATAATTTACACTAACAGTGTCTTTAAGCGAAACACCTCTCTTGATAGTAAAATTAAACTCTTGACCCTCTTCAAGAAATATCGGCTGAGGTACATCCCCGCTTCGAACCTCAGGACCCTTCACAAAACAATACCATACAAATTCAAAAAACATAAACTTTCATAACATTTCAATCACAAGAGACAAAAAGATTATACCTTTGTATCCAACATAATAGCAATAGCTTTGTCAACAAACAAAGAATTATATTCCTTAACTAAATCAATAGTCTTCTGATGAGAAGCATGATCACCATGAGACATATTCAAACGAGCCACATTCATTCCCGCTTCCGCGAGCTTCCAAATCATCTCCCGAGAACTCGATGACGGTCCAATCGTACACACAATCTTCGTCTTCCTCCTCGAATCATTATTACTTGTTCTTGAATCCGCCAATCTATACGATGAATCAACTGAAGAATCCAACACTCCCTACAAATAAACCCCAAATTCAAAAATCCTACGGAAACATTTGCAATAAGGAATCTAACAGAACGTGACAAACAAGAAAACAAAAATTAGCAATTAGGGAAAAAAAAAAAAAAAAAACAAATCCACTAACCATATCGAAAGCGCCGTTATCAGCATAAGCTTTAACTTTGCGGTTATCTTCGGTGATTTTAATCGATCTAACGGAGAGAGAACATTGACGGAGGGAGATAGTAGACCTACCTCCGGCGCCGATTAGTGTTCGCCGGAGTGGTGATAGTGAAACTCCAATGTTTCTGGAGGAGGAGAGAACCTGAGGATCTACAGTCATTCCCGAGGAGATTTGACCTAAAGCCGCCATTAGCAGAGAATCTGAGGAACAGAGCAGATGCAGAGAAGGAGGGGCGGAGAGAGAGAGAGAGGGTTTTTGTTTTCTTGTATTGTTTGTTTTGTTTGGTAGACAGTTACACTGAACCCTCTGACTCAGAGAGAAACAGCAAATAATTTCTGATATTTTCTCAACAACATTCGCATATACTAAAGTTTTTATATCTTCCTTGTCCGTATATTATATATACCATAAAGTTTTTATGAAATGGAAATAAAATTTTGATGAAATTAGACGAATTTGTTAAGTAAAAAGCTAAGATTATACTGTCGGTCTAAAATTAGATTAAATGCTTTGGTGTTAAACCAAGAAATTTTGTCTCCTCTATAACAGATTTATTCGTTTCTCTGTTACTGGTATTGAATTTGTGATTTTTGTGGTAAGATAAATTGGTCAGTAAAATATTCGTGAATCAACATCAATACTTTACTTGAAATATATGAGGTTTTTAAATATGCGAGTTTTAAAATGCATAGTGACACAACGCCGATAATTAACACAAATTACGTAGTTAAGAGTTTAGTAACTAGACCATAACTAGAATGATTTTTTTTTTCTTTCATTTTATATTGTTTTAAAAAAATGACTAACCAATAAGCAGACAAAATTTTTTAATCTATCGATTTCGTTTAGGAAATCAAACGTCTATGAGAGTTAGTATATTTTCAATCTTATTAGTAAAAATTTGGGTAATTTAAATCAGTTTTTACATACAACTCCAATTCTATACCCAGATTAAAAAAAAATGCAATTGATGTGATATTTAAACCTTTTTCTGTCGGCAATTTTCCAAAAAATAAAAAGAAGAAGAAATTTAATTTGTATTTACAAATTAGTAAACAAATACAACTAGACAAACTAAAGCTTAAAGTGTATACTTCAGTTCTCAGCAATGACAGAGAGAGTCACCGGTTTCTCATCTTCCTAAATTCATTACCACAAAAGGTTGGGAAAATCAACTGAGAAATTTCACAAGCTGACTTATTATCAGAGAGAAGCACATGAGCTTCCATTAACTAAAATACTGCTCTCTTCTTCACACCTAACCCCATCTCCTTCTCCATCTTATACCTTCCTAAACCCGCATACACGTCGCATAGACTTCTCCCGGTGCATTAACCGGTTCCAGCGCCAGCAACAGCATCGTAGGCTGTTCCGCTACGCCTCTTGCATCTCTATCTCTCCAGTTGAGCCTGCATGTATAAGCCTAGCAATACGCCATAGACTGTAGAGTGAAAGGCAGAGTTGAGATCCTCGATGATCTACTATCTTGATGCATTGTAATTTGTAATGCTCGATCCCTGGTTAATAATTGTGTAGAAATTAGTTAAGAATTATATTTTTTTAAAAGAAAAATAAAAATAAATAAATAATAAACAAGAACGGAGAGAATATAGATCTCATCAATATCTTTAGATTTGTAAAATCCAGATATTATGTAGTAAAACAAAAAAGAAAGTAAAATATTGATTTTTGGAGATTTATATGTGAACAAATCGGTTGGAAACCCTAGTTAAGATAACTTATCATTAAAGAGTAGTCTATATGAAAAAATAGTGTGACTCACACAAACTAATGGCGAATAAGGAGAAGCTTCCATGGGATATGGTGGAAGAGATCCTATCTCGTGTCCCTCCTACTTCTCTTGTCCGATTCAGAACCGTTTGCAAACGATGGAACGCTCTCTTCAACGACAAGACGTTCATCAACAACCACAAGATGACGTTTCAATTTATTTTAACAACTACATCCAAGATTTATTCGGTAAGCGTCAAACCCAAGGTAGAGGTGCGTGAGTTAACCTTAAATACTCCCGGTTTAAAAGCTCAAATACCTGAATTCTTGGTTGATACCAGTGGATTCTTGCTTTGTGACGTGGGTAATGGAGCTGTGGTTTGGAACCCTTGGTTAAGACAGACTAGATGCATCGAGCCCGAGGTTAACCAACCTAGTTTGGATTTTGTTGGCATAGGTTATGATAATAATAAGAGAGTTGAGGAAATTGTTTACAAGACCCTTTCGGTTTATATGAAGGACTTAGGCTCTAGCGATACGTGGAAAATCCATGACTTTGCCTCCGATACGTGGAAAGATGAAGATTTAGACGAAGCAAAATATAGTGTTACCATTAAATATAACTTAACAAGTGTTGTATCGTTGAATGGAACTTTGTATTGGGTTGCTTATAATGATGACAAGACTCATGATACTGATCCCTTCTTGTTCTATTTACTTAGCTTCAATTTTTCGAGCGAAGAATTCTTGAAGTTTTGTGATCTACCAAGTGGGAAGAACAATGCTTGCGATGCTCTTGTCGTAAGGGTTTTTAGGGAAGATCGTTTTTCGTTGTTGAAGCAGTGCCATGTAACAAAGAAGATAAAGATTTGGGTGACCAAGAACAAGATTGATAATCAGTACGGTGGGGATGTGAAATGGATGAGTTTCATGGAGGTGTCAATTCCTAACATGCCGGATTTAGTACAAACCAAATTCTACTATCAGCCAAGTTACTTCATTGACGATAAAAGGCTCGTCATTTGTTCTTGTGATGAAACTGGTCAGGCATGGATCTATGTTTTGGGGGAAGAGAAGTTGATCAATAAAGTTCGCTTGGATTCTGTGGCCGATCCTTGGCCTTTGCATTGTACCTTTTTTCCCAATTTGGTCCTAATTCCTGGAGGTCAAAGAGAAGAAGCAGAATCACTAGTTCAATTTCCTTACTTTGTGTTTCTTTTTTGGTTTTCTTCTACAATTTTTTCCCTTATCTTTTTTCGTTTTTGGTTTAATTTATAAGGAAGTTCTAAACCCTTAGCCTATAATCTCTCTTGGCCTCGGATCCGGCTTTAGTTCTTTATTTGGTTGTTTCGGAAGCTAAAACTTCGTTTACGTTTTCTTTTGGCAAAATAAATTATTTTTGATAGTTTAAAACATACTAGATTGAAACATGTTTATTGGACTCAGTTTAACTCTACTTCAACACAAGTAAACCATAATTAATAAAGAAGGATCAACTTAAATAATTTGTATGAGAAGAAGTTACAACCGCATTGTATTCTCGACAAGATTCGGAACAGCCCATATAAGAAGAAGATGTTTACGTTCACGCTCTATATCCTCCACCAACCACCATTGTACCAGTACCTTCGACTTCAATGCATATCATACTGTTTCGCTTTGGATCATAATAGAAAACATATAATGTCTCGTAACATTTTAACATCGCATTGACAAAAACGATCTCACCACCAAGCGTGACCCCCGCGATACGCCAGTTTTCTAAACCCTCCATCCCATAAAAGATAATCTTGGACCATTCTTGTTTCTTGTCAGCATCCTCCATAACCCAAATTGCCACACCCTTCTTGCAACACATGAATCCTAACTTGCCTTGATAGTTTATCAAGGTGAAATGGTGATCCATTATTTCCGGAGCCTTGACATGATTAAATTTCTCGGACCTTACATCAAAACTCACCAAGAAATATGTCGAACCTATATATGTGTTATCATCCCCTATGTATGTGTAACTAAAGAGAGTGCTTTGAGAAGAACTTAAATATCTAGTATTTAATTGAAACTAAATTAATTTCTATAGTTAAGTGATTTCATTAAATATTATAATTGCTTTCATAGTCATATTAAAAGAGTTTTTTTTTTTTGGATGTGGTAAACCCACAATTTTACACCTCATTTTATTCTAAATTTATAATATATCTAGAATATTCAAATTTGGATTTTTAAATTTTTTTTATTAGTACCATATATGATATTTCGAAATTCCATTATATTTAATGCTTTGATTTTTTTAAAATACTCTTAAAATTTGAACATAAAACATCCCCTATATATTAAAATAGATTTATTTAGAAATATAAGAAATAAAAATATTTATAAAATTAAATAGCATAAGATTTACATGTGCATGAAACCGGATTCTTAACTAGTATCTAATGATAACCAACCATTATGTAAAATAAAAGATGGAAAAATAAAATAATAAAAAATAATAAACAGAAATGAAGAGAATATGGATCTCATAAATATACTAACAAATATGTGTTTTATAAAATCCAGATTTTATGAAGAATAAAAAAGAGAGTAAAATCTGGATTTTTGGAGATATATGTCATGAACAATCAGTAGATACCCCAACTGGGAATGCTTTATAAGTAATCAATCTAAACACATAGTAACTTGAAAACAAAATACCTAAATGGCGAATAAGGAGAAGCTTCCATGGGATTTGGAGGAAGAGATCCTATCTCGTGTCCCTCCTACTTCTCTTGTCCGATTCAAAACCGTTTGCAAACGATGGAACAGTCTCTTCGACAACAATGCATTCATCAACAACCACAAGATGACGTTTCAATTCATTTTAACAACTAGATCCAAGATTTATTCGGTTAGCGTCAATCCCAAGGTAGAGGTGCGTGAGTTAACCCTAAATACTCCCGGTTTAAAACCTCAGATACCTATAAGCTTGGTTGATACCAGTGGATTCTTGCTTTGTGGCATGGGTGAAGGAGCCGTGGTTTGGAACCCTTGGTTAAGACAGACTAGATGCATCAAGCCCGAGGTTAACCAACCTAGTTTGGATTTTATTGGCATAGGTTATGATAATAATAAGAGAGTTGAGGAAATTGTTTACAAGACCCTTTCGGTTTATATGAAGGGCTCTTCTCATACATGGAAAATCCATGACTTTGCCTCCGATGCGTGGAAAGACCAAGAGTTTAATAAAGAAGAATATAGTAGAAGTATTACTCTGGGAATTAAAAACCGTTTTATTGTTGACTTAACAAGTGTTGTTTCGGTGAATGGAACTTTGTATTGGGTTGCTTATAATGATGACAAGACTCATGATACTGACCTCTTCTCGTTCTACGTACTTAGCTTCAATTTTTCTAGCGAAGAATTCTTGAAGTTTTGTGATCTACCAAGTGGGAAGAACCATGCTCGCGATGCTCTTGTCCTAAGTGTTTTTAGGAAAGATCGGTTTTCGTTGTTGAAGCAGTGCCATGAAACAAAGAAGATAAAGATTTGGGTGACCAAGAACAAGATTGATAATCAGTACGGTGGGGATGTGAAATGGATGAGTTTCATGGAGGTGTCAATTCCTAACATGTCGAATTTAGTACAAACCACATTCTACTATCAGCCAAGTTACTTTATTGACGATAAAAGGCTCGTCATTTGTTCTTGTGATGAAACTGGTCGGGCTTGGATCTATGTTGTGGGGGAAAATAAGTTGATCAATAAAGTTCACTTGGATTCTGTGGCCGATCCTTGGCCTTTGCATTTTACTTATTTTCCCAATTTGGTCCTAATTCCTGGAGGTCAAAGAGAAGAAGCAGAATTACAAGTTCAATTTTCTTACGATTTGTTTCTTTTTTGGTTTTCTTCTACAATTTTTTCTCTTATCTTTTTTCGTTTTTGGTTTAATTTATAAGGAAGTTCTAAACCCTTAGCCTGTAATCTCTCTTGGCTTTGGATCCGGCTTTAGTTCTTTATTTGGTTGTTTCGGAAGCTAAAACTTCGTTTAGCGTTTTCTTTTGGCAAAATAAATTATTTTTGATAGTCTAAAACAGACTAGATTGAAACATGTTTAGTGGACTCAGTTTAACTCTAGTGGTCCTGTATTCGATTCGGAAATAATATTCTTTCGAAGAATTTGTTAGCTTTCACTTCTTGTTGGATTACTAAAGCTTTTGGGATAGTCTTAAAATGGTTATGTTTAGATCTTGCAACAAAAGAGTTTTGTACATGTTTTCTATTTCACATGTTATCATCATGTGTTCCCAGTTTGAGGAATTGTATTGTCTCCACATGAATAAAATCATATTGAAGAAATTAATTAATTAAACATGAACCATCTTCTTACAGTTCACATTTGCAGCCAATGCAAGGAGGCTAAAAAGACTACAAAAGATCAATCTGCAGACCTATTGATACACCGCCTAGCAACTTGATCCGAAACTACTGATGTATAACCATCTTTGCCTGCAGATGCGAGTTCTTTATCAGTATTTTGTAGAGGGTAAGTGTATGAAGAGATGAACAAAGAATCAAGTAACCGAGTACGTTGGAAAATCAGAAAAGGCTGAGTATGTTCAAAATTATATAGAGGATAACCACAATTTGACCATAAGAGAAAAGATCATATAAGCAAATGCAAAGAATCCTACAAAGTTTCCTACTAATAATTCCTACTACGCGGGGTAACGCGACTTAGTGGTCGAATTCTAGTGGGGAAGGCGGAGTCAAGTAGACTTAACCACTTACTAAAGTCACATCCCCACTTTATTAATAGTGACTACAAAAAGAAAATAATTTAACTAGCCTAACCTATGTTTCGTTCAAGACAAGTTAACCATAATTAATACGGAAGGTCAGCTTAATTAGTATGAGAAAGTATACCTTGTGAAAGGAAGTTACAAGCGCATTGTATTCTCGACAAGATTCGGAACAACCCATACACGAAGATAATGTTTACGTTCACCCTCTATATCCTTCACCATTGTACCTTCGACTTCAACGTCTCTCATACTATTTCGCTTTGGATCATAATAGAAAACATATAATCTATCATAAGTTTTTAACATCCCATTGATAAAAACGATCTCACCACCATGAGTGACACCCGCAATACGCCATTTTTCTAAACCCTCCATCTTATAAAAGATAATCTTGGACCATTCTTGTTTCCTCTTCGCATCCTCCATAACCCAAATTTCCACACCCTTCTTGCAACACATAAATCCTAACTTCCCTTGATAGTTTATCAAAGTGCAAGGGTGATCCATCAGTATTTCCGGAGCCTTTACATGATTAAACTTCTCTGACCTTACATCAAAACTCACCAAGAAAAAAGTAGAACCGCGATGTTTATTACTTGCTCGGTAATAGATAAACCCGTTGATGCAAACCGCATGTTCTAATGGAAAGTGAAGTCCAATGCCTGGGATGTCTCTCCAGGGCTTCTCCATGGGATCTCCCACTGTAAATACTTGACAAGGCTTCTCCTCCATATCGTACTTTGGTAAGACCATTACTTTGTATTGATTTTCGAGAGGGTCGTATCCAAAGAAGCAAGTGTCTATGTATTGGTACCGGTTCGTATCCGGTACGGTATAGTACTGCCTCGTGGTAGGGTTATATATGTCTACCGTAGTAGGAAAGTCTAACCAACAACAAATCAAGCCACGGACATAGTGATACGATCCGGCTCTAGTTGTTAATGATTCTTTGTCTGTATTTTGAGGGTAAGTAGACGAGAAGATGAAGAAATTAGGTCCAGTATCTACTTGGTGGTGGAAGATGAGTTTGATATCACGTGGTGGCGACTGAGTCAAAGAACGAGTCACGATCGAGTCAATGAAGTCTCTACGGCTGCTGATAATTGATAACCATTCCTTCGAGACGCATTGAAACCTCAAGAGAGACTTTGCCGGTAGTTTCTTGAGTATCTCCACCTTTAGATCCAGAGGGATATTGACATCGACGCACTTTTCTCCGGTTGAGATTTCACGGCAGCGAAGAAGTTGCGTAGACGATGGTGAGGAGGTCTTGTGGTTGTTCTCTTCGTTTCCTCTCTCCATTACGTCTATTTTTTTTTTTGTGTAAAGCCTTGCCCTAAATTGGAAGAATAATATATATTTTTTTGGTAAGGAATGGAAGAATAATATAGTTGTATTGTTCCTTTTTATATATATACTAGACCCAGACCCGCATGTACGTGCGGGATTTCATATTTTAAGATATGTGTTGTATAACATATGTAGTCAATACGTTTGTTTTTATGTGGTATGTAACTAATTTTTTTTTCTTTTGGGGATCAGAAAATAGAATAGATACCGTAATATTAGAAACTTAAATGTATTATCAAATTTTTTGTGTTTTAAATAAAATTTGGTACAGAAATTTGTTTTATGTTTGATTGGTTTTAAATTTTGAATAGAAAGATAAGTAAGTAATTAGTAATTTTGTTTTGGTGAATAATTGGATAGCTTTGTTTGGTTTTGGTGAATTATTTGGAAAGTTGCAGACTTGTTGTGAAATATTTGTAATATTGAATATTGATTATGATTTTTTATAGAATATTATAGTTTTTAAAAATATAAAATAATTAAATTGGTAATGCAAAATTATTGTTTGTAACTTGATACATTGATAATAAATATATACGTTTGACCCAAACCAAAAATATAGTGGCCCATGACTGAATCCAGAAGTTTTTTAATTTTGGGCGGAAATACATTGAGACCCACTTAATAATACTCTTTACATCGATCCATCTATTCGTTTCTTTTATTTTATTAAATATATTACTGATTTTTTTTTTCTTTTTGGATAGAATAATGTCGAGACAACATTGTCTTATTAGTGAGATTAAACACCAAACCCTAAAAATCTCAGACTATTGTTCGATCTGAGAATCAATTACGAAATACTCTTATAATCAAGCTTTTCATCGCTGTTTATCAAGTTTCCATCGCAGATTCTGAATTCTAGAAAGAGGTAAGGTTTTTATTGATTCAGTTTTAGAGAACTATTTTTTTGGTCAATTTGTCGATTCGATTTCCAATTTGTGAAATTCTATGTTTGAACAGAGACCTTTGGCGATAAATGTGAAGAACCCGAGCTTGTATGAGTAAGTATTGCAAATTATATAATGAAATTTTGATTTCAATAATTTCTATAAACAAATCCCAAATTGATTTACTGTATTTTTGGAATTTAACCAGTAAATCAATCTATCTACATAAATCTTCAGAGCCATGGGTTAATAGATTTCAAAATTAGTTTGTATATAGATTTGTTTTCTGAAATTTCACTCAGCTCCTCCTTCCTGGTTTCCACAATCGCCTTGTATGTCTCTATTACTTTCTCTAATAACCTTTTTCTTCATGCATCTTTATCAGCAATTCATGTTTCTCTTTCGATTTCTTCATATATAAACTTTTCTTTTTTTCTACTGGGTTTTAATTTGGGGATTTTACCCTCAAATCTATTAAAGGGTTTAAGCAATTGTTGTTTTTATCTCTCAAAATCACTTCTTTGTGGCTCTAAGAGTCTTGAGATTACCATTTTAACATCACAATTACCACTTTTTGCAAATCATTACAGGTCGTACCTCAAAAGTTTTCAACACATTGCAAAAGGAAGCTACCTCAGATTGTGACTCTCAAAAGTCCAAGTGGCGCTACATATAGTGTGAGAGTAGATGAAGATGATGAAAAGACATTGGGTGGGACAAGTTTGTGAAAGATCATTCGCTAGAGGAGAATGATTGGTCTTCAAGTTCCATGGACTGTCTGAGTTTGAAGTGCTGGTTTACGATGGACAGACTTTATGTGAGAAACCCACTTCTTATTTCGTCAGAAAATGTGGTCATGCAGAGAAGACAAAAGGTATTGATTTTAATGCAACATCTTCGAGATCTACTAAGAGATTTAACCCTTCTGATGTTGAAACTACACCAAACCAACAACTTGTTATATCTCCGGTTGATAATGAGCTAGAAGACCTCGTTGACATTGATGTTGATATTGATATGTGATACAACGCTAGATCCGCTTCTTGTAGTATCTCAGACCGGTTATGAGCAAGAAGAACATATTAACTTTGACATTGATACAGCATCTTCCCAGCTTCCTGTAAATGAAAGGCTTGATGTCAGCAAGATCGGTGAATGCTTGCTCAGCTGCCAATTTCTTAGAGAGATCGTGAAGAGAAAAGGTGAAAGCTTTAAAAGGTAAGTTCAATAGGATTCTTTACTCTATATTTATAGTAATCCAAAGTCGCCTATAATTTTATTAGGGTTTACAGAATTATCGCGAAAGAAGATAATTTCGAATTAGAATCTTTAAGGTATATGCTTGATTTGTGGCGATTTTCTGCATAGCTATTATGATTTTTTTGGGTAGAATTTAAAACTGAATATGGATTTGAAGAGATTTTGTGATTTTAAATAAAAACTAATAAAGAAAATCTAATATCGAAGAATTAGTTATCTTTCAATATAGGGAATATGTGGGATTGAGTTTGCATAGATTTATCCGTGACATGCTTTTTTAAATTCGCATTTATAGTTTTAGTTGTTATGGAATGATTTTTGAAGCAATTGAATCTAATTTTTCAAAACATTAATTGCTAACATATTCTCGATTAAGAATAGGTAAGGAATATGCTTGATTTGTTACTATATGAATATATATATTTAGTTTTTTTTGGGTAAAATTCATAAATGAATATTTCAATAAACGGATTTTGTTAATTGTGGTAATAACTAATAAATGAAATCGAATATAAATCAATAAGTTTTCTTTTAATCATTGGAATTTATGGGATTGGGTTGTTATAGAAATAAAAGAGTAGTGATTTTCTAATCCGAATAAATAGATTTGCTTGTAATGTTAATGCATCTAAATGTATTGAATCTGATTATTATTTTCTTTAAAAACTGTAGATCTGAATCATAAACGCAAGACGGCAAGAGCTTCATATCGGGCCTATTGATCGTAAGCCCAATAAGATCATTTCTCATTCAAATCGTAAGCCCAATAGGATCATTTCTCATTTAAATCGGGTCCGCATGTTTTTACGAATGCAGATCCGACTAAAGGATCCAAGATCCGCGTCCCAGTTAGATCTTATTGTCCATTATACCCCTCGCCAAATTTTTTTTTGTAGTCGTAGAATCGAAAATTTTTAATGGCATTATTTGTAATTATTTACCCTTTATAAGGTTATTTATTATCCAATGCTTCCCAATTAATAATATAGATATATTTAAGTTGTCCAAAAAAAATATATATCCTATTTGGTATTTTCAAGTTTTATGATTGTGAGTAATAAAAAACAACTGGATTTTAAATGATTTAGAAATCCAAAGTAAAATCAACGTGTTCTTGTATTCTTGTTTTTAAAATCTTTAATTGTAGAGCTCTCAAAATGGGCAGGCCGATGGGTTGTTCGTGTCCAACACCTAATGGACCGGTCATGGACAAGCCCATTTTGACATGGATGTTAGTAGGCATGATCTTTAATGGACATGGTCGTTAATGGACTAGACGTCATGGACATGGACGGCCCAATACATTCAAAATGTTAGGTCAAATCAATTTGGGGAAAAATCGAAATTCATTTAGTCATTTACTAAGTTTCTTAAAATCGAAATCAGAGATTTCTCCAGCGATTTCCTCGCATATCTCTTGTCTCCATGGCTTCACCACATCAATCTCATCAACTTCTTTCGATTTAGATGAGAACATTTGCGATTTAGGTTTTTTTTTCAAAAATTTACGTTTTTCAAAATTTGTTCTAATGATGACCAATGGACAGCCCGTTTGGACAAGAACGTTAATGGACATGGTCCTTAATAGACATGGTCGTTAATGGACATGGTCACTATTTGTCCAAAACTAAAATGGTCAGTATTGGACCGAGCTAATGGACATGGACAGCCCATTTTGACAGCTCTATTTAATTGTCGACGTGGTATTAGTCATTCAGGGTGTATTCAATCATAGATTTTAAATGATTCGAGTTTTATATAATTTTGATGATTTTACGACGTTATTATGATTTATTATAAATATCCTCCTAAAACCAGAAGATATAGATTTATGTATTTTAAACTAAAGAAATCGTTTGAAATCCATTAGAAATCCAATCCTCAAATTATTTTCAATAATAGTTGATTTTAAGTAGATTTCTAAATCATTAGTTCAATAACATTGGATTTAGTTAGACCTCTTAAATTCCATGATTGAACATATGATTTGTTATTTTAACACAAACCATTTACAATATTTGATTGAATACATCCCATCGATCATTTCTAAATACAAGTTAAAATCAGATGTTATTCGTTTAATGATTTATTATTGGATTTCAAAATCCACATTATATTTTAAATTGTTTTGAAAGTAAAAAATAGAAAAATTTAAATCTCTGGTTTAAACCATGTTTTTCAGAAAGCTACAAATAAGAAGTTTTACCGGTTTTAGTTTGTTTCACTTTATTTGATTTTTTCAGTTAAATATTAAATATTTAAATATTAGAGGGAACGTATAAAGTTAACTTAAATATTTAATATTTAACTGAAAATAAATTAGTTTCTATAATTAAATGATTTCATTAAATATAATTTTTTTTACTGTAAATCACTTATATTATATCATAAAAGTTTACATGATACACAAAACCATTCAAATACAACCATTGAAACTAATAAAAAAAAGAAAGAAAAAAAAAACCAATCTGCAAAAAAAAAAAGAAAAAAAAAGTAATAAAGAATGGAGAGAATATAGAGCTCATAAATATCTATATATACATTTTTGAATGACTTTTAGCAAATAAATCCTGGAGTTGGACCTTATTTACGGATGAATGCCATTGGCATTAATTATTTAAATTTGAAAAATATTACTTAAAGATATTACCAATACGATTTCGAGAATCATAAATTCATATCTTCCTTAATTTTCTGAGTCATTAATGTGATAATCTTTAGGAAATATTTCTCTGTAAAAAAAAAAAATCCACATTAATGAAGGCATTAAAATCGACACTAACAATTAAATTATTTAGATGTTCAATTATTTTAAGATTCTTATATCTTATTTGATATATTTTTTTTAATATCTCATTCTTTAATTACTGCGTTTAGAATTTATTGGTTGTTACCTATTTTTTGGTGAAATTTATTGGTTGTTACTTAATAAGTAATTATGGTGCGTTTATTTTAGTTAATATCTAATTTAAAGGATTTGTTTTCTTTTATTATTAATAAATGAATAACATGTATAGAAATAAAAGATTTTTTTTGCGACTCCATAATAAAAATATTAAACTCTTATTTTCTACATTTCTTACACATAATATCCTCTTATTCAATAACAAAAAATATATATTACATATTTTTAAAAATATTTATAATATTTAAATTATATAAAAAATTTGTAATATTAATATTATTTCAACTCTATACAAATTTAATATATATGTATATATATCTTATGGGAACCATTTAAAAGAAATTTTTAAATTGACTTGAATTATATAGCTTTTAAATAAAAGTATTATTAAAAAGAAAAATAACTAAATAATGTTTAATTTCACGGGACGGGTAATATGATGGGACGGGTTTGGGTTGATATTTATAAAAGATCGTATACCACGGGTGAAATCCTAAAATTAACAATCAAAATAATCTATCAAACAAATTACATTTTGATTTTTTTAAGAAAATATAGCCCCGCGGTGTACCGCGGGTTAAAATCTAGTATATTTACAAAATAACAAGTTATCATTTAATAAAATCTAGATTCTGACGGAAAAGAAATCCATATTTTTATGTAAAACAACACAAAAGAGTAAAATCACAACTTTTGGAGATTTTCATGAACAAACGGTTGATGATACCCCAATTTGGAAAACTTTATAAATAGACATTTTGAAAACGTAGTGAGTAGTTACTTGAAAACAAAATACCCAAATGGCGAATAAGGAGAAGCTTCCATGGGATTTGGTGGAAGAGATCCTATCTCGTGTCTCTCCTACTTCTCTTGTAAGATACCGTTTGCAAACGATGGAACACTCTCTTCGACGACAAGACGTTCATCAACAACCACAAGATGACGTTTCAATTCATTTTAACAACTAGATCCAAGATTTATTCGGTTAGCGTCAATCCCAAGGTAGAGGTGCGTGAGTTAACCCTAAATACTCCCGGTTTAAAACCTCAGATACCTATAAGCTTGGTTGATACCAGTGGATTCTTGCTTTGTGGCATGGGTGAAGGAGCCGTGGTTTGGAACCCTTGGTTAAGACAGACTAGATGCATCGAGCCCGAGGTTAACCAACCTAGTTTAGATTTTATTGGCATAGGTTATGATAATAATAAGAGAGTTGAGGAAATTGTTTACAAGACCCTTTCCGTTTATATGAAGGACTTAGGCTCTACCGATACGTGGAAAATCCATGACTTTGCTTCCGATACGTGGACAGATGAAGATTTAGACGAAGCAAAATATAGTGAACTTGTTAATGTTACCGTTAACCATTACTTAACAAGTGTTGTTTCGTTGAATGGAACTTTGTATTGGGTTGCTTATAATGATGACAAGACTCATGATACTGACCCCTTCTCGTTCTACGTACTTAGCTTCAATTTTTCTAGCGAAGAATTCTTGAAGTTTTGTGATCTACCAAGTGGGAAGAACAATGCTTGCGATGCTCTTGTCCTAAGGGTTTTTAGGGAAGATCGTTTTTCGTTGTTGAAGCAGTGCCATGTGACAAAGAAGATAAAGATTTGGGTGGACCAAGAACAAGGTTGATAATCGGTACGGTGGGGATGTGAAATGGATGAGTTTCATGGAGGTGTCAATTCCTAACATGCCAGATTTAGTACAGACCAAATCTCATTCTCAGCCAAGTTACTTCATTGACGATAAAAGGATCATCATTTGTTCTTGTGATGAAACTGGTCGGGCTTGGATCTATGTTGTGGGGGAAAATAAGTTTATCAGTAAAACCCAATTGGATTCTGTCGTTGATCCTTGGCCTTTGCACTGTACCTATTTTCCCAGTTTGGTCCTGGTTCCTGGAGGTCAAAGAGAAGAAGCAGAATTACAAGTTAATTTTTATTTTTGGTTGCTTTATTTTTTTTCCTTTTTTATGGTTCCTTTTTTTTTTTAATTTTTTTTTGGACAATTTTTATGGTTCCTTTATGTTTACTTGTTTTTGGTTAACAAATAAGTTGTGAGCATACACAAACTGTAGTGAACATATGTGCTTAACCCTCAGCAATGGCATAATAGACTCAACGGTTTCTCTTCTTCCTCGTCAAGCATTTCATTACCACAAAAGATTGACAAAACCATCTGACCAGCTTCACTTGCAGACTTATCACCAGAGAGAAACACATTAGCTCTTCCATTTACCACAACCCAACTACATCCTGGTGTCTTCTTCACTCCTTTTATTCCCATCTCTTTCCTCATTTCTTTCTCCATCTCATGCCTCCCTAATCCGGCATACATGTTACATAGCGCCACATGTCCTGGTGCATTTACTGGGTCAAGCTCTAGCAACCGCATTGCAGCTCGTTCCGCTATGCCTGCCGCATCTCTATCTCTCCAGTTGAGTCCGCATAAGCCTAACAATGCGCCGTAGACTGTATGGTCTGGAGTGAAAGGCAGGGCTGAAATGAATTCCTCTGCTTCTTTTAGTTTTCCGGCTCTGCCTAAAAGGTCTATCATCGAGATGTAATGCTCGACTCCGGGTTGGATCGAATAGGTTTCCTTCATCGCTTTGAATAGTTCTAAACCTTTGGTGATGAGCCCAGAGTGGCTACAAGCTGAGAGGACTCCGAGAAAAGTTACAGAGTTCGGTTTCATCCCCGAATCAAGCATCTCTTTGAACAGTTTCAAAGCTTTATCCGCTAAGCCGTGATGCGATAACCCTATGATCACAGAGTTCCATGAAACTATATCTTTCCGGACCATCTTTGAGAATATCTCATAAGCATCGTCTATGGCTCCACATTTGGCATACATAGAGACAAGAGAGTTTTGAAGGATGAGATCAGGATCATAGCAAGCTGTGGTTTTTGCAATCACGCAGTGTAAATGCTTCCCTTGGTCGAGATTCGAAGTGGCTCCCGCAGAACTAAGAAGAACAGAGTAAGTCGAGTTCAACGGTTTCAGACCACATCTCACCATATCTGACAGTAGGGATGCAGCTTCTGCAAAAAGCTCGTTTTGGACAAGACCTGAGATCATAACAGTCCATGTAACCCCATCTTTGTCGTGAAGTTTCTGAAACAGATCAAAGGCCCTCGATACATCACCCGCATCTAGATATCCATCGATCATCGATGTCCAAGATACTTTGTCGTGTAAGCTCTCGACTCTCCTGAACAGAGTTTCAGCTCGCTCAAAATCCCCATTCTTTAGATAAGCGCTGATAATAATGTTACAAGACTGCAAATCAAAGCTTTCGTTGAGCAGAGACTGCGCTGAAGCAATCAAGCCAAATGATGCATACATATGAACAAGACTTTTCGCCAACCTTCCATCATGATCCACACTTTCCCACCCATTAGATATAACTTGTGCGTGCAATTGCTCGCCGAGACGACGAAATCCAACACCAAGACCACCACAAGCATAAGCAAGAGAGATGAGAGTTTCACCATTTGGTGATATTGCATCAACATCCTTCTTCATTTCAAGAAAAAGCATCAATGCTTCTCTATAGAACTCATTCCAAGCAAACCCACTAATCATAGCGGTCCAAGAAACGACATTTCTCTCAGGCATTTCACAGAACAATCTATAAGCTTCATGAACATCTCCATACCGACAATAACCATATACCATACTCGTCCAAGTAACTACATTTTTCTCACTCATATTCTCAAACAATAGTTTCGCCTCCTCCATTCCACCATTCTCAATATACCCTTTAATCATAGCGTTCCACGACACAGCATCTCGGCTAGGCATAGCATCAAACACCTGTTTCGCCTTCTCCGTTTCCCCATTCCTAATCAAACCCGTAACCAACGTGTTCCAAGAAACCACATTTCTCTCAGGCATTTCATCAAACAACTCGACTGCATCATCACTCCTTCCATCGTCACAAAGCGCAGTAAGCATCACAGTCCAAGAAACAACGTTCTTCGGCATTTCCCGAAACAATGTCCAAGCCTCATTCAATCTCCTACATTTGACATAACCCGTCAACATCGCATTGCAAGTGACGATATTCCTCTCCGGCATTACTTCAAACAAAACCCGTGCTTCATCCAAGTATCCAGCTTTCGCGTACTTGGTAAGAAGCGAAGTACAGTAAATGACACGGCTGATACTTCCTCTCTGAGGAATTTTGTCGAGCAAGTGGCGTGCATGTACAAGACCTCCCTCAGATAAGCGACGAAGAATAAGAGCTTCTTCATTAGAGAAACCACGACGATGGCTTCCATAATTCGATCCATAGAATCGACGACAAGATATCGAAGAACTGAGAGATAGTTTCGAGAGAAAGCCACAAACTTTCTTAACACGGAGTGCTCGCATTCAAACTATTTTTAAAAGACTCAGTTTTTAAAAGTGCTTATATACAGTAGAACCTCTATAAATTAATATTCGATAAATTAGTAAATATGATAAATTAATAAATTTTGTAGGTCCCAAGTTAGGCCAATGTAAAAATTAACTAAATTCGATAAGATAATAAGATAATAATTTTTTTGAAATCCATATATGAAAATATGGTCCCAAGTCGTTAAAAAAAAAAAAAAAAAAATATGGTCCCAATAATATCATAAATTAATAATCATGTAAATTTTTATATATATATATATATATTTATAATTATATATATATTAGGGGTTTTCATAAAATAGCCAAAATTTACTTTAAGTTTTCAAATTCTAGAATATGCATCATTTTTCAAATACAACTATATATGTCATTATTTATAAATTTTAATTTATGTATATCGTTTATATATGTAAACTCTATAATCTTTGTTATTCATTGTAAAAAAAATTATTTTCTCTTCGAAATATTAAATGTTTAAGTCTAAAACTATAAAATTTATAACATCCAAAACATTAATTTTATTTCGATCACATTGTTTTCCTCATATATTTTTTTTAAAAAATTCAACAATGAAAACAAAACTTTCTATAAATTAATAAATATTAATTTATATTATGAATTAATAATATCACTGTAAATTAATAAAATATCATAGTCCCAACATTATTAATTTATAGAGGTTTAACTGTATATACTTTGGTAAAGCTTTTGTATTTTTCATCGACACATTAATAAAGAAAATTTTATATATTCCCAAATAGTAAATCTGTTCTATATACATCAAAAGGAAACAAAACCACGTAAAAAAATTCATTCATACATACACTTTGACACACAAACTCTAAACTTGTGAAAATCCAATCAGCTGAGTGATTCCATAGCAACAAGATGTTTTCGTTTCGAAGCGAACCGGGAAGTGATAAAGGCTGAGGCTTTGAGATTGAAACAAATGATGATGAATTTGTGTGTGTTTTAAATGTAGCTGTAATAGTTGTCACTGGCATCTCCTATGCAAATGTAACCCAAAATAGCGACGAGGAAGACAACGTAGGATGAGAGATCAAGGGCTAATGCGCCCCAACCGATGAGTCCAGCGTGTTTTAGAATCGATGGTATTGCGACGCTTCCAACTGCTGATGCACCAGTCAAAAACTTGGCTGCATTGATCCAACTGAATTTAAAAAAAGGTTCATGTAAGCTCAGTGAGTTTTTAATATGCCGAGACTTAGAAAGTCGAATATCGTATCGATTGTTCCAAACGCGTTTATACGATAGAAAGTAATTCAAACAGAAATTCAGATTTTTTGAAATGCCAAACGCTAAAGGGGAGGTCTCCTTCTGTTTCTGGTTGATGCTTATGTTTACAGTTAACAGATGGATATAGCTAAAGATGATTATAGTTTTGCGTTCACTTGCAATGTAACGTAAATGCAAATGCAAACGTAAACAAATAATCGAGGCATGTATCGCACCTATTATCTGACTCGTTGAATAGAGATGTACTGTCTGATCCACCAAAGAAGAGTAGAGGCATTGGGAGGAGCACATACATTATAACTGCAAAGCAAAAGTAGAGAAAGAGTTTAAAAGCTATCACCTTTCACTGACACTTTTTATGTAACCAAACAAGATCTAAAATAGTCTACTTTCATCGATACAAAATGCAGCTTTCAAGTAAAAACAACTGTCAAGATTAAAGATCAAACCAGTAAAGAGATACCGGAGGTCGAGCGAAAGAACTCACCACTTAGCATTGGCCACCAATTATTGAACAGAGCACAAGCCTGGAACAAAAGTAGCAAACAAAGGGTTTAAAATCGTGGAAGAAGAAGCATAAACAGACAATAACAAAACTAGTAAGAATCAATGGGATACCAGAATCTGCAACACGATCCCTGTAGATACTAGGATCGCTAAGAAAGCTATCTTCCCCATATCCAAACAAGTGCGCAGGTATCCAGGTACGTCTGCCATTAACAAGTCCTTCCACAAGATAGCTGAATGCTAAGAAGAAAATAATATGAAAGCGACTTAGTTTTTTGAGTTTCTAATGATAACATTCATAAAAATCCAAACTTTAGGGATTCTAAGACCCTCAAAGATAAAATCAGTGAGCCAATCTTCAACTAAACAGAATAACACATCAAAAGAATCCCAAGAAAGTATCATCAAAGATCTGATTTTGTTTTTCAGTGGTAAGAGAGATCAAACTTATCCGGAATCTCGTTTCATTTTTACTCTCCTATCAAATTCGACATCAGACCTCAAATTCTACTTCTCCATTCGCTAACTAACTGTGACAAAAAGAAATAATCTCCAGAAAAATAAGAGAAACTTCATTTTTTTTTTTTTTGAAGAAGAAGGTTCAATTTTTACAAAAGATGACCTTATACTTGCCAAGCTCAATTACTTCCAAGAAATTCGACGAATTACTGAATCCAACCCCAATCGCCAGAATCAATTTCACACGGATCCAAAGTTCATAAGAAAAAGGGCAAGTCACACAAAAATAGCGACAATTTGAAGAATTTCGACCAGATTAGATGAGAATCATACCGAAAA